ACTTCAGGTTTCTTGGCAATTTGCATTACCCACAAGCTGCTGATTGACTCAGGTCTCAGATATATATTTTTTTGTCTGGAAACAGTATATTTACCCTCTGGTCTTTTTATTTTTTGCCAAACATTAATGTGGGAATATCTACCTTACATTACATTATTAACTAACCAAACACGTAGGCTGCAAGAAACTCACCATTTTAAATACTGTAGCACTTGTTAAAAAAAAGTAATGGCAGCACAAGAATTTGAAATCTAGGTTAAGCCACTTGCATGTATACATTATATGTATACTGTATGTACAGTATATATGTATATACTCTTCATAATACAGTAAATATACATACATGTTAACCTTGTTCCTTGCTATTGTGTATTATAAATGTAACTGATTTCTGGTTGCCATTTTCCGATCAATCCAACATAAAATGAATCTTGAAGTACATGCACTCTTACAATATTAAATGGTTTATTTCAAGTTCTATATTTTGGTTCTAAGAAATGGTGATGACATTTTTAAGTTACTCAATTTAAGGCTCAATAGATGTCAGATGTGACTACATGTTTTTAGATTAATATCTAATTTTCTATAACAAATTACTGCCTGACACTGATCACCAAGGACAACTTGTTAAACAGCTGGTTAAGCTCAGAAGATATTTATAGGATTTTATATTATTAGTGGCACATATTTCTTCATCCAATTAAGAAGCAACACTTAGTCTTAGTGTAACTAACTTTACAGAACAAATATTGCTATAAAAGGACAGTGAAGTATTCTAATCAAACCATTTTCAAAAGGGAAAAAAGCTACCATTTACCTTTCTGCTAATTAACTCAATAATTTTAGCAATTTAGTGAGTTTTAATTGAGTGTTCTGGGTTTGAACTACCCTGAAACTCCTGGACAATCCATTACATCTGTCTGCACCTCCTGCTGTATACACAACTATTCCTGGTAATGCCTTGTTATTATACAGTGAGCAAATAAGCAAGATTCCTTTTGTGTCTCAAGGACAATATTCTTTGAATACCAGCCTTTTGATTTGTAGTCTGACCTGACACTATACTATTTCTGTTCTGTTTCTATTTGTCTGACACCTGATACTACTACTTCTTACCAGCACGACGATATTGGTAACAGTGGATAAGTGGTAACAGTACAAAACTTAAATCGTTTCAGCACTTGACCTCAGCACGTTTTTCTAATAGCTTTGGGATGTACATTCACCATGAGGCCATGAGCCTTTTCTTTCATTTTCTACATTGAGTAATAAAAATGTAGGAAGCACACAGCAACATACAGTGAAGTGATAAGCGAAGATAAGGAAATGAATTCGAAATACCATTAAATGCATTCTTGATTTAACTAATACAAAAACCAATGGATAACAAATCTATTCATTGTGACTGACGGGATACATCGCAGTCCTGAGATTTGTTCAAACGAAATGCGTAAGGAAGCGCAATATGAAACATAACTGGAGCATATGAATCCAATCTTAAGTGTCAAGTCAATAAAAAAAAGAACGAACAGGATTTTGGCATCTCGAGTGCATCTGACAGGAGGCCCCTACAAACAAGATGTTCCGTCTCAGCAGGCATGATCCTTACGCATGTATCATATATTTCGATAATTAAAAAAAAATCTGGGTAGATAAAAGTCACAGTAGGGAATCCCGCTAACAAGACCCCAATCGACTGCAGCCCCCCAGACATATATGAAAAGACTCCAAAGGAATCAGTCACTGGGGGGTTTTAAACAGGTCAGCACACAGCGGCGTACCTTTGAAATGAGTGATTCAGAGGCATCGGAGATGACAAGGAGCAGGCGTCACACACACTGGAAGAACATGGCTGAGAGTGGCAGTGGCAATGCCGTGCCATCGCATTTCGTTTCCATTCTGTAGAAGGTCTTGAGCTCTATCCCAATTCTAACAGCAACACCAACGTTACCACTGCTGTTCCTTCTCTCACTAATAACAACAAAAGCAAGACACAGACCAACTTGCCACGGGAAAGCTCCTTCGGGCTGTGAGTAATTCGGTTTTTAATTGCTGTGATCCTTAAACACAACTATGTTGAAACAGGTCCATGTGGGTTAAGCACTTTTCTCTGATTCTCTGCTAATTTGTTCCCCAAACAGAACAGAAATTTTCCACTTGTTCTGTCAAGAGTGTTGCTGAGAGTCTGGACAACGGAGAAATAGTACGGGGAAAAATATGTGCAATAAGCCTCCTTATCTCCAATATGCTCAAAAGGCACACCCTCCCTTTGTGCCAGGTTCACTTGAATCTCGCATGTACACAAAGCTACCCTGGCCTGGGATGACCCCCATTTACTGTCTCCGTTGCTGGAATTTAAGGCTGAGAACTGACTGCCAAAAACACTTTACATGTGATTTACATCAGTGTGTAATGTTCTCCAGTAAATTAAGCAAATGCTTCCAGTGTGCCTCCCCCTTGAATAATTCTTAATGGCTGAGTTTGACAGCAAGAAATAACATATTCGGTCTTAGACAAGGACTGTTTTAAATAAGCCAGGCTTTCCAAACATAATTTCTTCTTCTGCTTTGATGTTAGTATTACACTGTGCAGCGCCAATGGTGCGGTCATATAAACAGTGTTTAACTGTAGGTTGAACGGCATAGATACTGGAAACAATAAGTCGTTCACAAACTTTACCCTGAAAGTGCAGAACTTTTCAGAATGTTGTTGCTGCAGTTAGACTGATTTGTGTTCTCCACAGAAAACAAAAACTAACACATGGGAACAGCAAAGCACTCATTTCATATGGCTAATTTCACAAAAATCTATTCTTAACAAAAGTAAGCTGATTATCTCTTGCATAAAATCGATGCATTTGATGGGGCCACAAATAACGATTAACTGTGAAGAAAGCTCCTGGTTGCTGTTGCTCCCAGCTCAATGAAAGCTGCTACGAGAGAGATAAAGGACTGATTCAGCCAGTCACCTAGTTCTACAAAAATCAATGACTTTCTACAACTATGTATTAAGAGAGGAAAAGTGGTTCAGATAGAATTGTTTATAACTGGATGGAATATTTTAGAAGGCTTAAATTAGCAGTAATCTCTAGTAAAACCAAGCATTTCATGCTCCATTTTTACCCAGCACAGTACTGATGCCCAAATAAATGACAATGTATTTTATTAAATGAAACTAAAAACCAGTAATGAGGAGTTGAAAATATGCAATAACAATCTTTTGTTAGATAATTAACAATATTCCTTTGTATTAAAAAAACTAAACTCTCTAAGGACACTTCAGTTTCAAAGCACCTGAAATTTAGTATTTTTAATATATTCCTCAAATCATAATTACAACAAATAAGAATAGCAAATTCAGCAAATTTATTCCCTCAAAATCATTAATTAACACAAAACAACAGTAGTCCTACTGCTTTTTTCAAGGTCTGAAATAAATTAAAGCACTCATCAGTTTTGATGCCTGCTTATCTTACAGGACTAATGAAAAACAAGCAAACCCTTCTTCTAAATTCTCCTGGTATGGCAAATGTTAAATTCCTTCAACATTTTTCTTTTACTTTTTGTACTTTCCCCGAGTATGAGCAGCTTACCGGACAGCTAAATATTAATTAACAAAATATGAATTGTAATTAATAAAATATTAATTATAATCTTAGATTACATCTCAGTTTCTTCAACAAATTTCTCAGTATATTAAACATTTCTTTTTTTTTTATATATTTTTGAAGTAAAGAGTTCTCCCTCCTGGTATTACATCAAAAGTTGCAAAGAGCACTTCTTCACAAAAATTCTCTGCAAAAGGGATAAATTAGTGTGTATTTATAACTCACGGATTGGCACGACCTCAACCTGTCAAAAATGCACCTGGATGTGCAAGCAGAATGGGAATGATGACAAACAGGTTGTAACATTTAATTATTAGCAACTGTGATTATCAAAACTGTTTTCCTTCATTAATAATGACACTATCACATTTGTTTCCCCAAAAATATTCCTCACAAAGTAGTAAATGCGAAACTATTAAAAGTTCTAAGTAAGTTGTTTTAATTGACCTGTAGATATTCACTTCCTTTAAACATGTGTCTGACTTAATCAAACCTTTCTGGGAGTTTTTTTCCTCCTTTTACAATTGTTGCCTTTGATCACTTCAATATGAGAAATATTTTTTAAAAAGGGACACAATGAAACACAAATCTCTGTTGCCGTTGGCTGGAAGCTGCACAGAAACAACTCTCGACAACAAGCGAAGTCTTTCATAGACGTGAGACTTCAAAACCCATTCCAGAAGGTGAGAACTAAAAAAACAGCCCTTCTGAATAACAGCACCATTTATAGCCTAGACACCAGTATCATTCTTCACCCCAAAGCCCTGTTAGTTCCACATACTTTTTAAGCAATATTTCAATCGCCACACACCATTCCTCTGTTTCAAGCACAATGAGATTTTGCACTTCAAACCACTGAACCCTGGTAATCAACCACTGTATACACTCATTCGTCCGTCTCAACATACGGAAATTTCCTGCTGAAATCGTGAACTGCAGCTTACAAAGATATCTTTGATTATAATCACTCGAGCCCAAGAGAAATCTTTATTAAAATTTGCTGTGGGCCCCTATAGAGAATAACAGGTGACACAGTTCTATATGGATCTTGCCTTTGTGCTTCGGACTGAAGACGTCAAAACCTCATTAATCCCCTAACGGTGGCTGCACCTTTTAAACCTTGTCTGTCAACATCAACTTGAGGAAAAGGAAGGCCTACAATCATGGTCCTCTCCTTTTCAGTGCGACAGAAAAGAGCACTTAAGAGATTATTTCTTTTCATACACACGCAGCATTACAGACCTCGCACACATAGCCTAACAACTTAAAAATAAATATCGATTCATTTGCAATTACCACGTTCAAGGAAGTGACATCTGGGCAATTGAAATCCTACACAAGTGCCAAGGAAGCTAGAACAGGATTAAGAGATAAAAAAGAGAAACTGACTCACCATTCTCACTGTCGGACTTATTTTCATGTTCTGTGTCAGTCAGGGTAAGGGCCGAATTGGAGCGACTTGACAGGCACGAGCTTCTCCCCGACTTGACCCCTCTGCCCCAAAGCCGCATGGCATGCTCTGGAGACATCACTCCTTCGTTTTCGGTGTCAACGTCTGACCCTGCGCCGACAGAGTAGCCACGATGGGGAAGCCCCATCTCGGCACAAAAGGCCAGGCCCCTTCGAGTTGCCGGTTCACAAATCCCCAGTTGCCTGAGGGTAAAATTCTGCCCTGTATGAATAAAAACAAACAGCAAAAAAAAAAAACAGGATATTTTTTTAAACCTCCTGTGCTCAGCTAGATGGTTAAATTGACTTTTTCTTCCCCAAGATCTCACCTGCGGTGTGCTTGTCAGGGCCTCCATGTGTTCTACCTAAGTGCGTCCTTTTGTTTCAACTATGGTAGACCCTTCCCAACACAGGCAGCACTCAGGTCGGTTTTGTTAGCTCCTTAAGTGACTATCACGTCCTCTCAGGTGTTAGATAAATAAAGTTTGACAGGTAAATGGGCTTGGGGAACATTCTTCTTCATGAGTGTTAAACAATGAAAAGATCCCTTGCTTTAGAACCAGTAGAAAATTGATAGGCCTTCTTTTTTTAAGGATTAACTCAGCTCAGCCGAACCCAAAGGCTAAGACCTTGTTTCTGTAAACAGCATTCCTCATTGGTGACTCTTTGCTGAGGTGAAGAGAGGAGCTTTAAGAGACACGGACACCATAACAATAACTACACAAAGCTTTGATAATTGTCGTAGGTCCTACAATGTTCAAAGCAACTGTCACTTCAATTTGTACTCGGTAGATTGGAATAATGTTTGTATAAACTGTTCTTTAACACTTCAGTGATAATATTCTGGGATATAAAACAACTTCAATACATAGAATAAAGAAAGCATCAATAGCTCCAATTAGCAAACGTATATCATAATGACCAAATACTGAAAAGCTCCGTTACTGGATATAACAGATATTACATGCAGTCATCTGAAACATTAAGGCATTTATTTGAAAAAAAAAATGACTTTCATTATTCAGCATTTCACCTTGTACAAGCAGCCGTAAATCTATCAGCGTGCTACATATTTACACAGAATGACGTTAAATCAACTGATGAAACAGAACTTACTGTGAAACCGAATGAAGTCTTATTCATATTTTAATATTTTCTGCCTCTTTTCATCTTACAATCAGTGAAGTCTTAAACATACTAGTATGTCATTCTGCAGATTGTTCCATTTACAGCTGCAATGCCTGAACCAAAATTAATTTAATCGATATCAATTTATATACATATATCTGCTGTATTTAGAACTTGATCTTGATCCAAACTCATAGATGTTCACTCTTTGTGTAATTCAAGAATGCTGGTAGCATAGCTCAAATGTTTAAGATTAGCCAATTATAATTTTGTGTGCTATATAATAACAGCAGTGTGCATTTGTACACATAGAATACTGTGACGTACTGTATACTGTACATACACACCCAAAATAACCGTGATAATGCATAATGCTGGGTTTCTTCTCAAAGCAACATAATGCTCAGAATTAAGTGAGGTCAGAAAAAAGTTAAAAATCCCTCGGAGGATGAGCTACTGTATATGCCCCAACTATTAGTGAGAATTAGCCCATCTTCTTTGACATGTTTCAAACCAGTGGTATCGATACACTCAATCCCTCAAAGAGTAGCTCTGAGTTGTATAAACCCAATTGTAATTATCTTTTACATGTCACATACTAAAGCTTCTGTTGAAAGATATTTCTTAATTTTTCATTCTTTCTCTGGTATTTTAAGAAAAAAATTCTAAAAGATTAAACAGATTGGGCCCGATTTCTTCGCTGCAGAATGAGCTGTTCTGTGCTTTTAGATTTTTTTTGATTTGCAGCACAAGCAAAACATTTCCTGATATACAGATTATACAGACAGGAAAAATGGATGAGAATTAAAAAAAAAAACTTACATTGGATTTAGAATCCTTAGAAAAGATTTGGTAGCATTATAAAAACAATCATTATTTTTATGATCTACAGTAGATATCTAATAAACAGAAATAAACACATACTAAAAGTATGTTTTTTTTTCACAATATTTTGTGACATTTAAAAATTAATTGTATAATTGCATCAGTGTGTAAAATATGAAGAAATTTTAAGGATAGGGTTTGGTATGAATTTATAAATTAATACAAAAGCACAGGTTAAATGCATGCAAAACAAAATGATAACATTTCTTTGAAAATCACTGCTTAAAACAGTTGAGGACAGACATTGTAGGTGCCATTTCTGTGATGGTAGATGTTGACTACATTACCTTTGAAGGTATCAGATGCAGAATCTTTTAAAGTGCCTGGATTAAACTGTCATAAAGTCCAGTTTGTAACACTAACACATTCTCCAAAGCAAAAAAAAAAACCTTAATTCAAACCACCAGTCATTAATCCCAGTTACAATAGCACAATCAGCAATGTGGTATTTTTACATGTAAATGATTTAAAACACTATCCAATTAACAAAACCCTCCAGTGCATTTTCTTACCCTGTGTTAAAAAATGCTCATTATATTTTGACATTCTTATAAAAAGAATTGTAATAATTTAACATCCTTCTTAATTTTTTGTTTGCCCCTTTTTACTTTCAAAGGATTGTTATAGTTATGGCTATGATGTCTTACTTGAATTGTACTGTATACAGTACATTTGATTTAAAAGAAATAAGAAATAATAGCCAAAATGTTTAAATAAGAGGTTTAAAGAATACATATACAGTATGTAAACTCTGCTTTAAAATGACGGTTTCAGTTCATTTTCTTGGCATATTCAAACTGACTTCATGTGGGTAAGTCTTCTTTGAAATATGTAATCAATTTCATTAAAAATATTTTTATGTAACATCTGCAGTTTGTAACATAATGTATTCTGATTGGAGGCAAATGCTATTTCAAAATTAATTGATTCTTTAAACATTAAGTCATGTGCACAAGACTCTCCCGTTTCAAATATAAATTAGGATTACTACTGTGTTTTTTTTTACATATTTAGAGTAAACACTCATACATAGGAGGCAATCTTTATAAACAAAGAAGGAACACACAATGTAACAACAAAAGCATGTGAAATGAAAGACATTAGTGTGAAACTCTTTTACAGTAAATTTATCAAATTAATTGTATAACCACTGTGGCCATTTAAATGGGGTTTAAATATTGTACTTTAAAAATTTTCAAGTAGAGAAAGATTTCAACATTAGCTATATTTTCTTCCAGAAAACAAGTGTCAACACTACATATGACTCATTTAAAAAATGTGTCCTAAGTATTGCATTGTTAAAGTTCTATAAATTCCAAAACAAATTTAAATTAAACCTTAAATAGCTAATTGAATAAAAGAGAAGTTTAAAAATAAGGTTGGCTCAAAGATGTCAAACTGCAACTGACTATATTAAAATGAGTTTACCTTGAGAAATTAAAAAAAAAGAATAAGGTTCCAGAATAAGTTCAAAAGGAAAATGTAGGTAAACTTGATACTACTTTATCAATTGAAGTAGCAATAATTAGTAGTATAGAAGTTGGCAATGAGCATGACAATTCTGAACAGTTTTATATTAAAAAAAATAATACTTCAACAACTTTGTAAAATGTTTTTTCCAAGGCACACATCTTCCTTAGCAGGAACTGAGAAGTAAAAAAAGAACTGACTCACTTCAGATGACATGCAATTACCCTACAATAAGATAGTGACTACTGTTTAATTAAAATTCTATTAATTTTAAATGAACACCAATTAACATACAACTTTTTTTCATAAGATAATTATGTAATTATACTTTTTTGATCAAATATTTATTGAGTGCTAATTGGAGCTTTTGAACAATCAATAAATCAGTAACAAACTAAAATCAACTCTCTTACTATATATAAAGTATGTTCTAACAAATTATTCCCTGACATTTTATTCATAACACTATTAACTTCGAATGCATAGCTGATACATTTCAGTATTTAATAAAAGCAGATAATTACATAATCCCATTATCTGTTATTTACTCATTAAATGTTAATTGAAGCCAGTTAAGTGTTTATTAATCATGTCCTTAATTTTTTAGACATTTTCTCAAGGTAATTTAGCTGTATTTCAGGATCTCAACCAATGACCATTTGTAAATATCAACATTTTTTAGTTTTTTTTTTCATATTTGGCAATATTCAGTTTAAAAATAAATACTTGCATATTGAACATGTGTTCATAGCTAGAGAAAGCTTAAGCTGTGTCTTTTTGAATACCCTGCTTAAGGAGGGTGCTTCATTTTATGATGCTCTGCTTAAATAAACATTCATTGTTATTTAAAAAAGCAGTTTTGTTTTAAATATCTGATGGGGTCTCTGTCTCATTAACAACCTAATTAAAAAGAAAATGTTTATATTATAATTAACCTGAAAAGAGACAGTTATTTTATTGATCTGAAGGAGCAAGACTCTCTTCTCAACAAGAAGAAATGAGGGGGGGTGGGAAAAACCTGCAAAAATAAAGCCAGAGATGGTCTGGTAGTGATCACAGTTGACTAATGAGGACACACAGCCACCAATTAAAATAAAACTAACTTCTACTGACCTTGCCTGGTATATTCATCTGCTTCCCTGTGAACCATTTCCTTCACTCTGTTTCCATACAGCAGCCTCGAGGAGTCATGATCGAAAGCCTTGAGAGTCTCACTTGAGCTGTAGGATTTTTGGGTAGGCACTCTGCACTCCTCGCTATCCACAGAGGAGCTGGTGTAGCGGCGTTCTTTGTCTCGTCTGCTCTTTGTCAGCGAGCAATAAGGCCTGCGCTCTTTCACATCCATACTTGAAGCATTCTGTGTCCAAAGCAGTCTAGCTCACTGGAAACTCCACCCCGCATTCAGCTTAGGTCTACCTGGTCAAATAGAAAGCAGACAGCGGTCAGATAAGACTAATCTGGACACTTAATCTTCAAGGATTCACAAATCCCCACAGAGTCCTATGAGCAAGTATTTGCATGCACGAACTCTTGATTTAGAGGGAGGGTTTTGAAAATGAGAAATCTTAATTGATTGCTACCCTCATCTGCTGTATATATAATTATTTGCCCACATCCATTAAACAGCGTTCTGAAACAAATCAAAGTATCAGGCGAGAAAAGAAAAACTTTCATTAACTGCTGCCAGCAAGAATTAATAAAATCTACCTATGATGTCCTGGGAACAAAATGCATTAAACCAGAAAGCAGAGTAGTAAATGTTAAGGAGCCCTAGGGTGCTTTTCACATGTTTATTAGTAAAACTTTCTCTTTTTCTAATTCTGGGCTCTGATAATGGCGTTACTGTAATTCCTGTCTTTATTCTGCAGGTCTTGCAGTCAGCGTGTTTACTTCAGTTCAACAGACTCGGCCCCTTTTCAAACATCATCTTTAAAGCATCACAATATTTTGATAAAGCTTCCTGCGCGAGTATTATTCCTCCCACACCAGAGAAGCAGAGCAGGAGGACTAAAGCACATGATTTAGAAGATAATTCAGATTTCAAAAGTCTTTTTTCCCCTTTGATAGATTTCTATTTTAACAAAATCGTTTTTTTTACAAAGCTGACACATACTATTGCCAAACTACCATGATTTAAAATTGGATAGTCTGTCTTCAGTTAACAAAATAAAACTTCATTTCTGTCTTGTTATTTTGCATTTATATATAAAACTCTAGCTGCTCTGAATGTTTCAGTTTCTACATATAGTATGAGATCTGTTTTGAATGGCACATCATACAGTTGAATTTCTTAATCCACACATTTGTGGGATAGTAAATCAGACTGCATTTTGGAAATTCCCCTTTTCACCACTGTTTTGTCATGAAGGAAACAACCTTTTTTTCCTTTCTGTCTGGCCCAAAATAACATATATACAGAAAGAGAACTAATTCATGTTCTCAAATAGGCAATGGATTCCTGCCTTCTTCATTTATTGTCTTGTAAACATTTACAGAGGCAGATAAGGACTGCAGGGTGAGAAAAGATGAAGACTGTCACCAGAGCTGCGAGAACTGCTCATGGGAAAATAAGATTACTGTCTAAATCACCTAACCATACAGTCTGTCAAGGCAACATTACATTCACAGGACTGTTTCACAAAATGGGGTGAATATTGGGTCACATTCCTCTTACCTCTATTTGTCTTTGTCTTTTTGCCAGATGAAAAAGGGAAACCTATTCATATTTCAAGTAGGTTGAATTGGCACGTCCGATTCTACCAGCACTGCTTACAGGTTGTGCTAATATAGATGCTCTTACTACCAAGAAAATTTGCTATCACTCTCCTGACAGATACAACCTAATATTAACTGTATATTCAGCTCTGAGACCTGCAGATCCAGTTAGCAGAGAGTAGCCTTTTAATGCTGAAACATCCAAGGGCAGGTTTTTTTAATTCTATTACTATAATGAAATAAATTTTGTTATGGTGATCCATAAGGATGGTTTCTTGTTTTATTTTTCATTTCCATTATGTTACTCTTTTGTAATAAAATATATTTTTTTAACGACTCAAAAGAAAAAAGCTTCTAAAATAAAAATAAAGAAAAGGCACAATGGATGCTAGTGGAAATAGCTACAAAAACATCACAATAAGACAGTATAAAGTACTTCATGAATGGGTCTTTATTAGTGATCAATGAGTAAAAAACCTTTTCCTTCCTGGATGAATTATTTCAAAATGAATTAGATGTGATGCCTAAATAAAACAGTCTCACGTAGACCTTATCATCGAGCCTTTTATCATTTTTTTTGATCGAATAAAAAAGCTAGCATAAAACTTTCGAATAACTATCATAAAAAACATCTTTTTGAGCTACCTTGTTTTTCAAATTGAATGAACATTAAGTCCAAAAGCGTAGGTTTTTTTTCTCTAAAAAATAACTTTGCATCTCACGATCACTTTCTGCTGCTAAGCCGTACTGTAAATGCAGCTATCACTGGTATTATCATGGGAAGCACCAACAGATCAATGCCAACACTATTGACTTAAATTACGAGTCATTAAAGAATGAAACGCAAACACATGCAATTTGTGAATACAGAGCTGCTCGTGCATTTTCAAGAGTGCCACATTGCGAAAGACAAAGAAATAGTTCAGATCAGGAAAGCAATAACCCTGGCACTGGGTGGAAATATAAAGCTAAACCGTGACAGGTCTGCTTCTCATGTAAATGCTTTATCCATGCGGGGAAAAAAAAAAAGCTGCTGTTGCTTCGGGCTTGTTTTACTCTGCGTTTAAAATGTTTCAAGATACAGAAAACCCAGATGAAGTTCCGCTTTAAACGTACTGCCTGGTGTGTGCTCCCTCTCCCCCCCCCCGCCGACCCCCAACCCAACAACAAAAACGCAAGAACTCAAACGACTAATTGCCCATAAAGCAGTATTAAAAGCAAAAGACAGCAGAAGTAGCGGCAGCTGATGCGCTCGGAGACATCAAGGGGGAAGTGAACCGGAAAAGTGACACTTGGCGAAGAGGTGCTCAGGATGATCTGTGGTCCTGGCCCGCCATTACTCAGGCTGATGAATTCTAATACCTGGTTATATCGCGTCATCATGGACTCCAGCTCCCTGTCTAATGATGGGTGCCTGGCTGCCTGGAAGATGCTCCGTGAGCCCTCCGTGCCGAGAAGTCTCAATGTGACCTCTGAGACGCTAAAAGACCTGCCTTACCTCTAGTGCCAATTAAAGCAGTCACTTTAAGGTTATTATTTCCCTCTGCAAAGCCCGCAGTGCTGCTTTCCTTCCTCATTCGCAAGACAGGACCTTACATCATGCAAGTGTGTTTCACTCTGCTTTACGATTATTTTTATGACTTCTTTCTGTATTTCAGCATCCTGTAGGTTCAGGCCCTTGCTCTGGTCAGCACGGCAGAAGGGATTAAATAAGCAACAGTAAAATGCCAGTCTCTCCCCAAATAAAATCTTTTCGGGACACTTGAAAAGAGCTTTAAAACTTGAGTCATGCCTTTTATCTATTATGTCTTTATGTTTGAAAACCAAGGACATTAACTAGTAAATATTCTTTAATAGAGTCATGGGGTCATGCAGAGTAAAACTATTTGCTCAGTATTTTTCACTGAGTTCGCTACAATAGACATTCAGTTTCACCTATTTCACATAGTTTATTCTAGGTAATCTGTGGAAATTGTAAAGGGATTAACTTTATACAACTATCAGATGAAAGGACTCATCAATAATGAAAAGAATAATTTTGTTATTCTCCAGTGCATTGCCATTAAGAAATAAAAGCTTGAAGATATCCACAGAAAATACTATGCCATGTTTTATTTATGGGAGGAATGATTGTATTTCATTTAAAAAACTAGGTATTTCCTGTTGTTTCTTACATTTCCTGCTGAATTGTTAATTACTATCATTATGTCCTAAAATGTTATACTTAAAGAAAATATTTCTAATTGAATCGACCCATATTTCTTATATAACTAAATGATGTGTTTTAGTTTCCATTGGAGGATTACCTGCTGAAACAGCAAATCTTCCTCACTGAGCCTCTTTGTTCCATAATTACATTGCAGAAAATCTGTGCTAAATATTAACTCAGACCCCTCTGACCCTGCCTTCTCCAAATAAAGGTAATAAAAGGATGTGTCCACTTTAACATTCTTAGGGCAAGATATCTCCAGTCAGCATCCCCACCCCCATCCTCTTGTTAAAAACTGTTCCATGACCTGGACTCTTTTGATGTTTCACTGATTCAGGCAGCAGTGTGAATTTATCTGTGCTTCAATATCACGGTGTTGCTGCCGCAACTACTAACAATAGTAAGCTTTCACTGCTCTGAATAATTCACATCATTTGTCTCATCTGCTCTGCGGTGCTGAAGGAACTGAAGGAGGAGAAAACAAGGGTGCTTTTCTCCCCTCTGCCTCTGACTTTTCCCCCCCTGACACCAGGCTCTCTGAATGCGATTTCCATTGTCTGAGGCACATTCTTCTGCAAACCCCTCAACAGCATTTTCTGTCCCAGTACCGCGACAGTGCGAGTGCAAAGATAGGGGACTGTGAGCTCTTCCAGGTTGTAAGGGCTAGCATTTTTTTGAATTCCTCCTCCTTTCTTCATTCAGTTCCTTCCAGGCAAAAAAAACAACAACAAAAAAACTATGCCAAGTCAAAATTACAGTAAATAAGAAAACTATATCTTTGTTTTGGAACAAATATCTGACTTCTTAGGGGCATAAGAACTGATCTTTATACGTACAACCATATATAACTTACAGTACACAGAGGGACAGAGTCAACCAACGGCATTATCAAAAATTAACAGCGAAACAAAGCTAACAAGCAATCAGAATCACTCAATTTGGTAAAGTACAGTACAGCAGTATAAAAAACGTGTTAGTGGTGCCACACTGGTAATTCCTTTGATTTAGTTTGACTACCTTGTGCCTAACGCATCTAAGATAAAACAATAGCTAAAACTATTAAACTGGATAAAATACTTATGCTGCTAAACACAGAAAGACCATTTATAAAAGACGGGTCAGGCACGATTTATTTAAATATGAATAGCACTCTTATTAAGTGTGAAACCCCTCTTAATACCGAAGAACTATGATAAATGTCTGCAATCCACTCTCTTGTATCTGCTCATGGAGGTCACCAGCTCTGTGTAGCTGCGCTGACAACTGTGTAAATAAATATTCGCAGTTAATAATGGGAATCAAATTAAAATTGTAACCTAAAGAAAAACAGTCATCCAAAAAATACTTGTTTTTCCAAAGTGAAAAATAACATCTTCCATCAGATTTTATTTCCACAATTTGAGACTTTTAAAACTAAAGCAATATTCTGATACGGAGACTAGTATAAAATGTTTAATAAAAAAAAATTAAATTAACCTTCATACAAAAAAAA